CTAAACATAGCTACGGGCGTCTGGTGCAATGTTTCGTACTTCAGCAAGGCATAACAAAGTACGTAAATCTCCAATGAAGTAGCAACTTAGTTAGAGGCTTAATTTGCAGGGCGGAACTGACACCCCTCGCTAGGACTTCTGTGCAGTGATAAGAATGTCAATTCAGAGCCGAAATGACATAGAAAAACAAGATTATGACTGCATACTTACTGAGTTTGGCCAACCATAGAAACCACAATGGAATCATCAACCGAAGAGGATTCGAATGGGAAGCACCAAACACCTGAAACGGTAGCCGAAAATGTAATCTGAGACACTGCAAGTAGGGGAATTTACTAAAGGACATGTAGGCTAACTAGGCAATAGTGCTGACAGCTTTAGCATAACAGGAGTTTATCCTTACACTGGCAGTAAAGCAAGCAGTCAGGAAAACTTGGGCCCTGAAGTAAACATGGGAAAAGGTCACGAGAAGAAAATAGGAAACAGGCCTGTACCTTTTATCTGCTCCTGGTCGATGCTGGCATGCTCCTGAATACCGATGCCGCTACGGATAATGCGGAGGCTGCCCTCTTTGTATGCTCCCGAACAGGTTATGAGTTGATTCTGGCCCTTGCTCTCCAGCAACACCATGTCCACAATTGGACCAATATTGGTGATTTGCTCCAGCACAGTTATATAACTGTTACGTTCGGACTCCAGATCGGGATTAAGACGTATCAGCTGGGAATCTCCAAGGAAAGCGGCCACAAACACCACACCGTTGTCCAAGTAGACAATGGACTCGGGGATAACGGTCTCGCCTATCAATATCAAGAAGATAATCATGAAGCATGCTAAGTAAGACTCTTTCGCATGACGTGCGGGTAAGAGGGAACGGTCGGATGAGAAACCCTTCAAAAATGATCCATTAGGTTTGTGAAGGAAAAGGTCGAACTGGCAGCTAAGGCACGTTCTTATTTGAATGTTTAAGATAATCATTATGAATTTATTGATCAAGTAGTATTGCCGGCAAAGACCAGGGAGACTGGAACAGTCCTTTCTGGCTTATTAGCCATCGTCAGCCAGTCATACCCAACCCCACGTGGTGTGCCACCTGACGCTCCAATTCGCGACCTTTTGATCAGAGCCTAACGCCCTAACAAGTGAGTCACAAGGCCGCTGTCTTGCCGGTTTAGGGCCGGAGATATTGACACTCGTTGATGAACGTTCACCGACTGCTAACGGAACTCATTCGTTCCGGTGTCTTGGGCCTCATTCTCGAGCCCTGACAGCAGCCGCACAGCGGCTAGTAGCCTAGGCATATAGTGCAGATAGGTAGAGAAGCAAGACAGAGACGAGCGAATTCCGCTAGCGATCGGTGGAGGTTTATCAACGAGTGTATTGAGCATAATCACGCATACCACGCAAACCACAGTCGGACAGCAAATATATAGCTAGGGGGCAAATATAATGATATCAGAAAAAACTAAAAGATGGTTAATATAAGTGATTAGAAAGGGTAAATTTCACAGATGTCCTTGGTCTAATGAAAACGTCCGCTAGTTAACG